GTGGGGGTTAAATCAAGCTCCATCTCTCTCTCTCTGGGTTTTCTCTCTCTAACACAACCGCCGAATTATGGATTTAGGCAAATAAATAAAAGCTTATGTGAAAAGAGAAGGCATATCACTGGTATTTATAAAGGAGAGAAATCATATAACAGATAGTATTTGCAGTGGATTATAATTCTATTGAGACACGATTGTTTGCAACTCTAGGATATATTTTGTACTACTTGTTTTATACGACATGTCTAAATTCTATAAGATAAGAGATATTGAAATAAATATCTTTTATAAGATAAGAGATATAGAGTTATTTAATAATCTAATTATTAAGGATAAAAGGATGTATGAGTTGGATAGTACGAGAACTCGTGAGTCCTGATCCCAGTAAGATTACAATGATTTTATCTTGTGTAATCTCATTATCTAAATCAAGCCAAACTAGATGTACTTATATGCATCCAATATTTGTAGGGCAAATGCATCCAATACAAGAAAACATAGTCCATCTCGAAATTTATGTTCAATAAATGCTGGAAAACAGTTTTGAGAATACATTTAGGACTGACTTCTCAAAAATTACAGATTTGACCCAAAACTTTTGAAGATCTACACATGCAACCACATAAAAGTTCAAAAATTCATTTTACTTGAAACCCCTTTTTGAAATCCGAATTTTTAATGCTTTTGGCCAATAAAACTTGTATCTACCCACTACCCACATAGATGATGCATGCAAGAACAAGAAATTAACACTAAACACCTCTTTTCCATTTTTCCCCAAAAAACCCTAAATTTCGAAATACTTAAAAGTCTTTTAGGTAATCTTGAAAATTCTTTTAAAATAATATGATATCTTCTAATTGCAGCAAGAAACTCGAAATTTCTTACCTAAATCACCAAAAGGAAAATGAAGAACAAGCAAAATAGAGAGACTTCAAGGGTTGATGACAAACTCGAACCAAGCCACTTTTATGGTGAATGATATAGTGTGTGCTTCCAAAAATGGCTGTGTTGTTCTCTCCGGTGAATGGACGAATAGTTTTTATGGTGTTCTTTGCATACTCTAGAGCCATGGTTAAATAGGGGATTTTCATGGTGGTTTTTTATTTTTCTTGTAAAATAAGTGGTGAGGTGGAAGAAGATGAACAACAATGGTGGTGGTGATGTCTCGGTGGAAATGAAGGGAGGAAGCCAAGTAGGGAGATTATGTGTTGTAAGGAAGGAATAGAAGAGTGTCTCTTCAAATCTCTTGAGTGTGGATTAAGAGAAATGATTAGAAAATGCCAAGTGTTAAAGTCATGCAATATTTACTAATTAAATTTATTTATTTTAAACACCCCTTTTTACTCACACACACTTCATTCGAGCCATATGCACATATATATATATATATATATATATATATATATATATATATATATATATATATATATATATATATATATATATATATATATATATATATATATATATATATATATATGTATGCAAGATATATGTATATGCATGCACATATAGTAGATAAAGGAAATGCAAATTATTTAACTAAGTCCTTAAATACGTAAATCATATATTTCACGAAATTACAAAATCACATATTTATTAAACACATAATAAAGTTATTAATTAAATATAGCACGTCAAAGTACCTAAAATATTTATGCAAGTTATCAATTTAATACACATAAAAATTTTCGAGAGAAATTTAAGTTCGTAGTTTGGGGTTTTGAAAGTATGGGGTATTACAATCTCCCCCCTTAAAGAAATTTTGTCCCCAAAATTGTAACCTGACCCGAACAATTCCGGGTGACGTTTACGCATTTCCTCTTCCCTTTCCCATGTGGCTTCTTCGGGTGTATGATTTTGCCAAAGAATCTTAACAAATTGGATTTCTCGGTTTCGAAGGGTCTTGGATTTGGAATCAAGTATTTGGGAGGGTTTTTCTTCTTAAGCTAAGTTGGGAGATAATTCGATCGGTTCGGTTTTTTAGATGTGATCCGGACTTCGGATATATTTGCGGAGCATCGAAACGTGGAATACGTTGTGAATATTGGACAAGTTGGGTGGCAAGGCTAGTCGGTAGGCGCGGGTACCAATTTTATCGAGAATTTTGAATGGGCCGATAAATCGTGGTACTAACTTTCCCTTTTTCCCAAATCGCATAATCCCTTTGAAAGGTGCCACTTTAAGAAACACGGAGTCTCCGACTTCAAATTCTAAGTCCCTCCTACGGGAATTGGCATAGCTCTGTTGTCGATCTTGGGCGACACGCATCTTTTCCCGAATATTTTGGATTATCTCGACGGTCTGTTGCACTAAATCAGGGCCGAGGTATTTTCTTTCGCCAATTTCGTCCCAATGAAGTGGTGATCGACACTTACGACCATATAGAGCTTCATATGGTGCCATTCCAATTGATGAGTGGAAGCTATTGTTGTACGCGAATTCGATTAATGGGAGACGGGATTCCCAATTTCCTCCAAAGTCGAGAATGCAAGCGCGTAGCAGATCTTCTAGGGTTTTGATGGTTCGTTCGGATTGACCATCGGTTTGTGGGTGATAGGTCGTGCTGAAATTTAAGCGTGTGCCGAGGGTTTCGTGTAAGCTTTTCCAGAATTTGGACGTAAATCGAGGGTCTCGATCGGAAATAATAGTGACGGGAACGCCATGAAGTCGAACGATCTCTCGAACGTATAGCTCGGCTAGCTTGTCTAAGCTAAAAGTCATCCGGATCAGGAGAAAATGAGACGATTTGGTCAGTCGGTCGACAATCACCCAAATGGCATCGGATCCCTTTTGGGTCTTTGGAAACCCTTGCTCAAAATCCATCGTAACGGCTTCCCATTTCCATTCTAGAATTAAGTTTGATTGAAGTAAGCCGCCGGGCCTCTGATGTTCCGCCTTGACTTGCTGACATATTAAGCATTCCGCGACGAATCGGGCCACGTCTTTTTTCATTCCGGGCCACCAGTATAACTTTTTGAGGTCTTGATACATCTTGGTCTCACCGGGATGGCATGTGTACGTAGTTTGATGAGCTTCGGCTAGGATTAGTCGGCGAACGTTCGGATCGTCAGGAATGTAGATTCGATTTTGGAATTGAACAAGTCCTTCTTCGGAGATTCGAAAGTTTGGATGGGATTCGAGGTTGTCACGAATTTTGAGAATTTGCGGGTCGCGTTGTTGAGCTGTTTCGATCGATTCCCTTAAAGTGGGTTGAACAGTGAGGGCGTTTATTGACTTGCGACTGAGAGCGTCGGCAACAACATTAGCTTTGCCGGGGTGGTATAGTATCTCACAATCGTAGTCCTTGACTAATTCAAGCCATCTTCTTTGCCTCATGTTCAAATCCTTCTGAGTGAAAAAGTATTTCAGGCTCTAGTGATCGGTGTAGATGGTACATTTTTCACCATAGATGTAATGTCGCCAGATCTTGAGTGCGAATACGACGGCGGCTAATTCGAGATCGTGCGTTGGATAATTCCGTTCGTACTCCTTAAGTTGGCGTGAGGCGTAAGCTATGACTTTCCCATTTTGCATAAGTACAGCTCCTAACCCGAGTTTAGATGCATCACTGTAAACTATGAATTCCACCGTTTTCTCCGGCAGCGTGAGGATTGGTGCTGATGTGAGTCGATTCTTCAATTCGGTGAAGCTCGCCTCGCATTCTGTGGTCCATTGGTACTTAACTTCCTTTCGGGTCAGTCGGGTGAGCGGAGAGGCAAGCTTTGAGAAATCCTTCACAAACTTGCGGTAGTAGCCAGCTAGCCCGAGGAAGCTTCTGATTTCTTTTGCATTCTTTGGAGTCGACCAATTTGACACCGCCTCTATCTTGCTAGGATCGACAGAGATTCCTTTGGCCGATACAATGTGACCAAGGAAAGCCACACTTGATAACCAAAATTCACATTTGCTGAATTTGGCGTAAAGCTGATGAGATCGGAGAATCTCAAGTACGGTGCGGAGGTGTGACATATGCTCTTTTTGGTTCTTAGAGTAGATCAAGATATCGTCAATGAAGACAATTACGAATTGGTCCAGGTATTGATGAAAGACTCGGTTCATGAGGTCCATGAGAGCTGCGGGGGCATTGGTTAGGCCGAATGGCATGACTACGAACTCATAATGGCCATATCGGGTTCGGAAAGCGGTTTTGGAAATATCTGAGTCTTTGATTTTGAGTTGGTGGTATCCGGATCGGAGATCGATTTTGGAAAAGACGAAGGAGCCTTGGAGTTGGTCAAACAAATCGTCAATACG